TTGTTAATATTGACCACCATTTCCTTTATGAAGTAAAGCAACCTCCCTGTCTGTGTCCTCGCGCTGTCCTCACAAACCCGGACCCCCAGACTCAGAGGAGCACAGGGATGTCAGTATTGTTTATGAAGCAGGGTATAGAAAGTACATTATTGAAATGAAAATACTATTTATTTACTTTTACAAACAGTGAGCAGCTGGGCAGCTGCAGCATGTGTATTGACAACCCAGTCTCATGGCATTTCGTGTTCACCAACACGATTTTTAATCTATTGATTCGTGTTCACCAACACGATTTCCCCCTTTTTTTTGTGTTGCACAGCACGATTTTAAAAGCAATGTATTTCTACTGGTAATGACGCTCATGGAAGCACGGCATTCGTTTGTGTCGGCTGCCCTTAAAGGCAATGTGAGCGTCCATTCTCATTGGATAACGGATAATTGTACACCCGGAAGTAAGTATTCCTCTTGCTGTCGATTGATTTTACAGTGATATCTGCACTACTCATCGACTAAAAAACACCAGATTATCCTTGTTAATTACACAACATTGATTGGTTTAAATTGTGTGCAATGCTTTTGTATTTTTCCCCTTCGATTCGGAGAAACAAATATTTTTTCGGAGTAAAGGATGGCAGAAGACACTACACTACCCAGAATCCCCAGCTATCGTTTGGACTACACCATGTGCTCTGTTTGACGTCAGGTGATCTTCAAATTTCTCCCTGCAGAAAAAAAAAACATGGCCGAACTTCGTTTTATTCTCGGTGGAAAATGCCTATTTTAAAGTTAGTTTGGTCATTAAAATGCGTTTTGATGTCATTTGATGCGAGAAATATGAGTTGTTATTTCAGATTATGTGTGCAGTGGATGTACATGATCTTTAGTTTGCTAGTTATTACGAAGATTACTTCAGGAAGTTTTCATTGTTACCAAGGTGGTTGCTAGGGACGCTGCTATCGATATTATTTATGTTATGTTGTGTAACTGTTTAATGGTGTTATCTTTATTGCTACCCCCTTCCCCGTCAATGTATAGTGTTGGTCCACAGCGCAAACATATTAGTTTAACAAAATCCGCATCTAAAGATACGTTATTTCCCCCTGTGCAATTCCAGTCTCACATCTCACAGCACATCGTCATTAACAAATACCGGAAACAGACCGAAAACATTTAAAAAAAATAAAAATAATACTTTATTCCGAGTGTGCTTGCTTTTCTCTTTGAAAGTCATCACATAACGGCATTGTAATACACGGTTCGGCTGCATTAAATATTACATATCTGCCGTAGTTCTGTATTTATAGAGCCCTGATGAGAAGACTTCTAGACAAACATGAGGAACTGAAAACGTGACGTGGATCATAAATATATCAGCCATTAAACAACATCTTACATTTATGTTCACACAATACGTCTCCTTGTATTATCAACACTAATTCGGCTGACTTTTATATTTGATCCAATTGGTAGATAGGCTGTATTTACACCATAATGGTGCACAGCTGATATAAAGGGACACCTAGTGGTTAAAGCATGTTATTGAATTTCATTATTTTTATTATTAGATATGAATAGGATCCCTATAAAGTATATTCATTACTCGTTATTCTCTACTAATAGTTAATTAAAGAGTGTAGATAATGACTATTTTTCACATCCCTTTCAAGATTTTCTAAGGTTTATTGACATATCATATAGGCCTACACAACTATGGTGTAGTTATGCATTGAATAAAAAACTTGGGTCGCAGGTTCCTCAATAGTGCATTACAAGACATCTATCAATATTTGTGCATACCTCCAGCAATGTTAACTATGTTGAAGCACTTATTTTAACTGATATTATACATATGTATTATACTCTTATAAGATGTATGTAGATATTTCATCTCCGACCTTGTCAGGTATTGAACAATCAATAAATAAAGAACACAGAATTGTTAAATATAAAACACAGAATTTGTGTGATTATACTAAATGATTTACAAATAAACACCACTGCATACAACTGTAACACATGCTGATGTAACGCAAATGTTCCAACTTGGGATCAATAAAGTATATCTTTCTTAAGCTGATCGATGGTTATACTGCCATATTTGCAAAATTTGCCTCTGAACCTTGACAAGTGCATGTTTCAGGCTTATCAATGAATGCAATGTAATGTTATCAATTAACAACAGGGGTCACAAACATAAGACCAGCTGTTAAATAAAGCTCTTCTGACCTTAGCTGGCATGTGTGTATATATTAATGCTGCCCATTATGGGCACAAGCAATTTTCACCCATTTATTAATTATATGTTTTAAATGTGAGTGTTTCCTATCCCCTAAACCTCCAGGGATGTACACAGTTTAATACTGGTAACTTCTTATTATGGGAAATACGAAAACGTCTTTTAAAACTACAACTCCCAGTAGAGACGTGCCATAAAGAACATGTTGCGAAACAGAATAGCCAGCATGTGTAGTTCTGGGGACGGGGTGGGGGAGGGGGGGACGCGGTGGACCCGCCAAATCCAGTTTTGGACAGTCTGCCGTGGTGCCATCCCATTTCAAGTGCTGTTCGAGGCTCGGTAACCCTTTGTCAAAAAGAGCACATGGTGTAGTCCTAAACGATAGCTGGGGATTCTGGGTAGTATAGTGTCTTCTGCTATCCTTTACTCCGAAAAAATATTTGTTTCTCCGAATCGAAGGGGAAAAATACAAAAGCATTGCACACAATTTAAACCAATCAATGTTGTGTAATTAACAAGGATACTCTGGTGTTTTTTAGTCGATGAGTAGTGCAGATATCACTGTAAAATCAATCGACAGTAAGGGGAATACTTACTTCCGGGTGTACAATTCTCCGTTATCCAATGAGAATGGACGCTCACATTGCCTTTAAGGGCAGCCGACACAAACGAATGCCGTGCTTCCATGAGCGTCATTACCAGTAGAAATACATTGCTTTTAAAATCGTGCTGTGCAACACGAAAAAAAGGGGAAATTCGTGTTGGTGAACACGAATCAATAGATTAAAAATCGTGTTGGTGAACACGAAATGCCATGAGACTGGGTTGGTATTGCAGGACATGTGTAAGCGTATTTGAGTTGTAGAAAAGCGCTAGGCCTATAGGCTATACATCTAATGTGTCATTATTATTATTATTATTATTAGGTTATGTCCTATGTGTTGGACATGTGTGGTTGGACTTTGTCTCACAGGCAGGTTGCAGTGTAACATCAGAGGAGACTGGGCCAATTGTACATTCTCAAACTGCACCACTTAGAACTAACTAAACAATGCAGAGATTATTTTTATATAATTGTATTCAATAACCGTAAGAAATTCAACAGTATGAAGTGATTTGTAAATAGGAATACAGATTTGACTTAATCTTTTCATAAATATATTTTTCTCCCAGTTTGACTTATTTTTACCCTCTCAAAGAACCGGAATTGAGAACCGAAAATAACCGGAATCGAAAAGCAGAACCAGAATCGTTCAAATCCAAACGATACCCAACCCTATGTGTGATGCAGTAAAATCTTACCGCTCACTTACGTTAGCGGTGTCGTAAAAACCGTGGCAAAATGTAAAATACGATGACGAAGAAGAAGATTCCAGTGGCCCCAATTTTTGTCCATTCTGGACAAGTGAAAAATGTATTCGGACAAGTAAATTGCCAAACTCACTTGTCCATGGACAAGTACTCTCTAAAAACTTTTTCTCACACTGATAATGTGCCGATTTGTACAGATCCTGGAGATGGAAGGACTTCAGACCAACCAGGGAGTTATCTGATCAGCTTGGTGTTCAATGTAACTCTTTACCATGGCTCAGACTTTGTTACTTGCAGTTACAGTTTCTCATTTTAGATTGTGCAAATTTTGCATTTGTTTTTACATGTTCTTTGTTCATGCTCTTTATCATTTTTCTGAGTTGGAAAGTTAGATTGCATCATAGTTTACTTTATACATATTTGTATTCTTCAGTGGTGAAGTATATTGCAAAGCAGCTCAGCCATGTGAGAAGACTTTTGGCACTTTTTTCGTTTTTCGTTTTCTGAGTTGGAAAGTTAGATTGCATTCAAAATGTACAGAAATACTTAATTTTGTTAAAGCTTTTTATAAAAAATGCTTCTGACCAGAGCTTTGTTTCCTTGTCATTAATGTTGAACACCACCAGAGGGGCTCTCACCTGAAAGGTCTCTGCTTCATGTGTCTTCAGCAGAAGATCTAGACTTTGATTGCTATATTTTCAGTTAATATTGACCTTACTGAGCTTTAGCCATATCCGCTGCCTATCATAAAAAATGTTAAGTACAGTGAACCTTTCTAAAATATACAGTAGTAAAGAGACAAACCCACCAGCATTATAGTAGCCAAATTCTTGTTTGTGGGCTGTATATATAAAATTGACTTGAAAAAGTTGCTGATTTTAGAGTACTGGCACCTTTTTCATTCCAATTCAAGCACTGCCTATACGTATGATTGATGAAAAGATCTTAAATCAATACAGATGTATTTATTATAAACGTTAGTCCTTAACATCTATCTCTGTGTATATCACCATTCAAACATCTTTTAAAAGTTGAACAAACCCCACACAGCTCAGTAAAGACTGTGAGATGTTGACTTTATTTGATCATTTCAGTAAAAACTAACGTTCATATTTCTCTCTTTGATTATAATACTGATGAACGTTCAGAACAAAGCACTTTGGCAACTTATGTTAGAAATTAAAATCAATGTTGGTATGGCGTAATTTGAATTAAATACACTATTTAATTTAAATCAGTTTTATTCTGAAAAACCGGAAGTTCACTAACTATTAACTTAATACTTTTATTCTGACAATTATTCATTTCCGCTTAGCATTAGCATGTGGCGAAATGCTACATTTTCAAACCGTGAATCAAAGGTGAAATGACATGTGATGTTGTACACTGAGCACACTGGGTTTAGCAATCATTTATTACCGCTGAATAATGTTTATTAGGGAATGTTTAAATAACCACAGACACCAGAATGATGTAATTTAACAACAGAAAAAGGCAGAAATTGCATTGGACCCGCCCCCCGACGACGCCGGCCAATAGGAGAAGACCTCCGATGACAACAGGAAGAGCAAGCCAAGAATTGACCTCTTGCTACCGGGTGACCTGGACTGACCGGGCGGATGAGGAGAGCGCCTCCACTCGCACATTTCATTTTGTACACCACCGCATCTTTTGTGTAATTAAATGCTGTTAACTTTTATAAGCTTCCCTTGACTCTTTTCAGTCTCTCCTGCCTTCGGGGTTATAGAATACACTAACATGGCGTCCCTGGGTGGGCTCTGAAGCGGGATAGAGCTGGAAAAGAGGGGAATGCTGCAAGCTAACTAGCATCACACTAGGCTGCAGAAAATGAGTTTTTGGCTGGGCCTAAACGAAAGGTGAGACAGTTACCTGTTTAATTCCGTGGTGATTGCGAGTGGTGTGGAGATTGTATATAGTGTTTCTATTCGTCTCTGTTGTATCTTCGGCGCCGCCTGATAATGTGAATATTACATATTAAGACCTTCTGGTGAGGCAGAATTGTATCTGGGATAGGGTTCACATTGTGTTAAATACCTCTGGGTAGGTACCAGACCTGATCTGTTTTACACTGGACTGGGTCCATTCATGTTAGTCTATATGTTTGATGTGTTAAACCTGCGTAGTCTGGTTTAATAACGTATATTGTGTGGAGTTTTTAAGCCAAAAAGTATATTTTTGTGTGATCTTCTAAGCCGAAACGATTGTGTACAAGATTGGTATGAGATCGGCTTTTAGGGTCAGCATCTATATAATTTAGAGCTAAGATAAATGAAGATTGTGTTGTTTTGTATTGTCAATCAGTGTGGTTATTTATATGCAGATGTTGAGTGTTTCCATTGTTCCCCTTCCCCCAGTCACATGCGGTTAATGCTATACTGCTAAGCTAGCCAGTTAGCATTACTAGATGGTGAAATACTTCGAGTAAAGATACAACTGGTAACTACTGATTAAATACACAGGGATGGTGTAGATGAACGTTGAGAGTAGATTGAGTTGTTTTGTTTTTCATGCTTTTCAAAGAAAGTACTTTGAACTTTATATTTTGAAATAAACAGGAAGTAGGTTTATGAACCGGAAGTACTAGTTGATACATTTGAGAGGAGTTACAAATAAAACAGCTCCCCTAGCGGACATAATAAGTATTACAGTTAATACATTCTTCACCACACAGATAAAGATTACATGTGGTTTCTTTGAATTGAAGTATTGTGGTTAACACATTTTGTGACATTTGCATAATTTCATGAACTCAACTTGAGTATACACTGTACACGGTTTATTTGGTCTATTTTCATATTACAAAGTCAAAACCATACACTGCATTTTAATTTATTTGTTCAGATTTAGAAAATTTGCATAATTTGAAAATTTTAATTTAATTTGTCTAATTTTAGATTTTCCAATCTCAGTTTTACAACATTTAAATTTATTTTTCAAAAAAAAAAAAAAAATATTGAAAAAATTACCAGATTTTAAAGTTAAGTTCAGATGACATAGGATATCTTTATAAAGAATACAAGGGTACTATTCAGAGGATTAGTAATTCATTTTGATAACTTAATACTATTATCCGTGTACTTAAGAAACATGTCGCCAGAGTTAAGAGCACTCACAGTGCCTGGCACAACTGCAGATATTAAGGTGAGAGTAAACATCAGATCAGATGCTTTAACGTGTCCAAGTCATAGACAGAAGACATGGAACCAAATAGAGAAACTGTTGGAACAGTGGCAAACGAGAGGATTGATTCCAGCAGATGATCAACCTGGACCAACGGAAGCCCATAGAAAAGCTGTAGTTGAACATGAGAATGCTGAATACCTACAACAGGAAAAAGCATGGATCAAAGCCGTACAAACCCCTTGGTATGGACCTGCTAAAAGCGCTATGAAAAAAGAAAAGTTAGGGTTACATGTCTGTTAATCCATCTGACATCCATCGCAGAAGATCTGCCAGTAAATGAAGACACAGCAGAAATGACAAAAGAGGCTCCACTTATCCAAACTCCAAAGCAGTGTCCAAGCCTGACCGAAGTGTCTCCTCCAGACATATCAGAGAACAACCCTTCTCACCAAGCTTCGATTCAAGCCCCAAATGAGAAAGAATTGGCGTATGAGGTAAGAATCCTATCCAGTGTCAACCAGCTGATGGAAGAACTCGGCAGAAGAATGGAAGCAGAACTCGGCAGAAGAATGGAAGCAGAACTCGGCAGAAGAATGGAAGCAGAACTCAGCAGAAGAATGGAAGCAGAACTCGGCAGAAGACACGAAGAACTCGACAGAAGAATGGAGGAACTCGACAGAAGAATGGAAGAGGAGCTCAACAGAAGCATTGAAGCAGAACTCATCAGAGGAATGGAAGAGAGACGAAAGGCAGATGAAGCCCATAATGACATTATTGCAGAAAGACAAAGGGAGGAAGATAAATACCAACTACTTCTGGCGGAGAGGCAACAAGACAATGTAAGATTCCAGGACATGATGGCAGATAGACAAAGGAGAGAACAAGAAGAACGAAGAACTCAAAGAAAACGCAGAACAAACTACTCTCCTGACTATTCCAATGGACGGGGAGATGAATATGACGACAGCGGTACACAGTCTGAAACCAGTAGACACTCCCCATACCATGAACAGTCACAGCAACAACGCAGTTTTGCATCTCCTCCTGAGAATAATAGTAGTGACGAAAACGAGCAACATTACCCTGGGACATGCCCCAAAACTAGAAGAACCAAGACAACTAGAAGAACCAAGACAACTAAAAGAACCAAGACCGGTGCACATACCTCCATGCCATTGATAGCGGCTGGAAGAGGAGGATTTCAATACCAATCATGGACTCACAGGGACATGGAAGCATTAGTGTCAAAGCTACCTCCACTCACGAAAGGAGGTCAGAAGTGGGTTACTGATCTGGAGAAGTACACTGTCCAAGACCACCTGTGCTTGGGAGACATGAGGGCCCTGCTTGGATGGATAGAAGGAAGACTAGAGGCAAGAGCAGTAGATTCCGAGGCCAATTGCACGCACGACCCAGATGAAACTTCATTCAACAATATCAGGTCGAATTATTGGGCTGCTATTCGTCACATCTACCCGACAACACGCAATTGACATGCCCTCAACAGCCTGAGCAAAGAACCGGGGGAAGAAATGCATGCCTTCTTGAAGAGATGTGAAGGAGTGTGGGAGGACTGCACTGGAGAACGGCATGACGTTTCTCCGGCTGTTGTAATGTTGTGGAAGAACGCTGTCATTAAAGCCCTTCCCCGATCAGTGCAGGCAGGCCTGGGAGACGTGGTGGGATTAGACGCTAAACCCATTGAAGAATGGAGACTACATCTCATTCACCACGATATGAAATACCAGGCAACAAAGGGGGAAAATGATGAAGAAATTAAAACACTAAAACTAAGACTTTTGAAGATACAAGTAGCTGAGAAAGATGCCGAAGCTAATAAAAACAAGAAATCGACAAAGCATATGGCCATACTAGCAGAGAAGGCAGGGCGGACACCTCCAACAGTTCAACAAAGCGGAGGAGGAAGTGTATGTCCACAAAACCAGGTTCAGCAGACACCTGTGTATCTTCCTACGCAAGTACAGCCACAAGCACCACAGTATATTCAACAGCAAATACCTGTGTATCTTCCTAACCAAGTACAGCCGCAAGCACAGGTATACACTCCCATACAGCATCAACAAAAGGGACAATGGAGAGGAAAGCCACGATCAAGAGGAAGAAGGGATGATGGCTGCTTCATATGTGGAGATTGTAGACATCTGGCCAGAGATTGCCCCACTCAGCAATATCCACCACAAGGTAGCACCTCACAATACAGAGGAGAACCAGTGTTGGATATCAGAAATATTGAAGCGGAAGCATATGCCAGGGCCATGACGAATATTTCTGTTGGATCAGGTGATTGGGTAAATGTAAAAATCCACAAGATGAACTTGTTGCAACCTGTATGGAGTGGACCATGGGAAGTTGTAGAACGCACTGTAGATGCGCTCCGGATCAAAGTTAAAAAAGGAACATGTTGGCACCTTCTTACACATTGTGTAGCCGTACCGCCACCTTTCCAGAAACGGCACGGCAGTTAGAACTGATTTTGGAAAACTGGTACAAAAAACAATAAGGAATTGAACATTTTTTACAACGACAGCACCAGGAGATGAGTAAACTCAAGAATCTGTAGAGTGTAAATACATTGAGAAAAACACATTTTACACTCGAACTGTTTGCACATCATAGACAAGGAATTTAGACAATATAAATAAATGTTCAGCAAAAGTAATAAGTATAATGGAAAGAAGACATAGGCCTACACTTGATTCAAATTTCATTACCTTGATCCGATTGGTGTGCTCTGCAGGTTTACTATTGTTCGAAGTAACAGTGGGATTTAAAATATTGGAGAAAGATATGGAGATGTTCTTTCGTAGTGTGTGGAATATGTGATGCTGGAAACATGTAAGTATTTCAGAGTTGTGTTGGGTAAATATGTAACAATGGATGAAACCATTTTTAGAGTGAGTTTTTGTAATATCATAAGTAGACATTAATTATGATGTTTAGATGTCATTTAACAACTAAGACAGATAGTATGATTAGAAAGAGACAGAGTGGAAAGGGTTGGATTTATTTAACCTCAGTGTGCTAGACTTCTTATAGGTTAGGTGTCCCGAGACCTGGACTCCCCCTCTGAGTTAGAAAGGCTTTGATCCCGACCCTCCAAACAGACAAAATACCTAACCCAACAGGAGACTCCTCCTTCTCCATCGAACAGACACAGAACCAGAGCTGAAACAACAACAACAACAACAACAAGACTGCAGCCAGAACTATCTCCACCTGTGGCATCCAGAACCAAACAGCATGCTGACATACAGAGAGATACTCTCATCAGTCCCCTCAGACAGGGACATGAAGTTCCAAGCTGAGCCACGAGATTTGGCACCAGACCAGAGTGTGGGACATGAGAGCAGAATCCGCCCTCCATAAAAACAGCAGAGAGACTGTAAAGGAGGAGTGCAACAACAGTGGCATGATGGGGCTGCAGATGTGACTGGGCCAAGGGCTGCCTCAAAGGGTTACAGTGGACGGATTTAACAGCTGATGGACTGAAGAGAAGACAGAATCAGAGGAGTTGGCATGGTCGATTAGAAGTGAGGAGGCCGGGGTCACGGCTTGAGAAAACCAGGGGAGGAGGAAAGGAGAACGGGAATGAGTGAGTTACACATAAACACACTTATTCACAAAACGCACATTTAAATAACTTGAATTAACTTCATAAATACGTAAAGACAGAAAGATTTATTAACCATGAATTAATCAAGTGGTAAATTAAAAATAGCAGGAAAAAGGAAACTATTAAAGTAAAATGAGAATCATCCTAAAACACACTGAGGGATAAAGGGGGAGACATGACGGAGTATAACCATATTCTTCAATCTTTTCATCATGTTAACAAATCATTCTTTAAGAGATTTTTATTCACGTGTGAATAAAGTAGTGATCTCATTTGTTACAATATTGATCACAATTAAAAGGATAGTTTTAGGAACCACTCTATAGGACAAATCTTTATTTGTATGGATAAGGTTAAAGGGAGAGCTGGTGCCAAGCCAAATATAAAATGACTTGATAAAGGAGGGAGTAATTGTTGCATTCGGACACCCAAGGTTCCACACACTGCTAAAGAGTTTAACATTGTTTTTTAAGTAGACCAGAATTAAAGATAAATGAGTATAATGAGCTATGAAATGCAGAGCGACACAGATCCTAGTAATGTTTTGACTCAAGATAATAGTTATGTACACAAGTTTCTGAAAAAGATCATTAGACATTTTAATACTAATTAGGTGTAAATGAATTGCAGTAGTAGTAGTACTCTAAGGAAGTGAGTTTTATACCAAGTTTCAGGAAAAGTGGGAGGCAGAAGTCCCAATGACAAGTGAGAATCATCTTGAAATCATAGTTGAAATCGTGAATGAATAAGGAATGGCGCTCCACATATGATATATTTTTGTAGATAAAGGGTACCCTATGCTGAATTACTTCCGAAAAGACTCTGCAGAGCACGACATGGCCAAAAGACCGAGACTAAATGACCTTTGACCCTGACTGACAGTGTGACAAAAGTACTGTCCATGACTGACTCTGGGGTGGACCTGACCAAACCTGACGTGACAACCAGACGGTGTGAGTGTGAATGAATGCCGGCATGTGATCAGTGTAACTGCATGATTCTAAAACAATAACCAACCAAGCATGTTTTTGGACTAAAATATTATTTTGGTGCTCCAAGGGAAACGAGAGGTTTCCTAAAAATTCCACAAAAAGGGGAAACCGCACATGTGACCCGTTTCTAATCTACTTGATGATATTTTACTCTCACATGAGTTGGCGGTTTGCAAATGTAAAACTAAAATCTGAAGATTCTGTTTCTTTTAGGCCTGAAGGACGGAGAGGAACACTCCTTTTCACTAAAGTCTTTACTGTGGAAATAATGATAATGGATGTCAAATTGTAAACAATGTTCGTTATGTCCCTAACCAATTACCTGACAGTTTTTTGTTCCCCTCCCATTACAGGCTTTTGTTACACATGAGTTCATGTGTTAAAGGGGGGAGTGAGTATAATGTATAAATGTCAACATGGCTGTAAAATACACAATTTAAATTTTTCTTTTAAGGATTGACAGAAACCTTCCGCCCCAACCCAGATGTTCAAACTGAGCATTGAATGTAATTAACCTGCTCCATATCTGGGGATAAGATACTGTTTGATGAATGTTGAGATGTTTCTAAATATTGATTTGAATTATAACAGGTAACACAGAAGCAGTGGCCAAGGGGCTACTGTGAGACCGAAGAAGTTGACCTGTGATAGTTAAACAATGTTGTAATATTTTAACAGACATTAGAGCAACTGAGGTTTGAAATGTAGAAAGAACATATTACAGTTAAATTAAGCTAAAACATAGTAATGTAATGAGACCGAATTTAATTTAGACAACATATTGTAACTAGCCTGTTAAAGAATTAGAAGTAAAAGCCATAGACTTTATTGTTTAGTTCATTATGGGGATATACATTTAATTTAAATTCATAATAGAAAGACATTTGATGACAGTATGTTGGAATTCTGTATTCATGTTTCAGCTTGATAATAGACGGGTAGAAGCCGTATTGCCAGGTGCAATCGATGGGATTTCTGCACACGATCAAGCAGAGAATGACGTACCTTACAGGACAGATACACTCAGGAAATCATTCACTCTGACAGCATCATGACTTTAGTTGTTTTTGAATCCATAATGAAATTGTATTACATAACGTTATTGTGTGTCTTTACCACAAACAGGAATAGTTAATTGTTATATTTAGATTTGAGAAAGATTACAAGGTTTTTATTTAGTTCACCATGAAGATGTTTTTTGTTTGTAACATATGCCCAGTAGTAAGATTGAAATATCAGCAGGTTCTGAATTATTATTCCTCTGTCCCACAACCAACAAGAATGTGGATGGGGGGAACTATATCTACTAGAACCAGCAGAGATTCATAAATTACACCAGAGACACAGTAAAAGTAAATAAGAGTAATATTTAGCTATTTTCAGATAGTTTAATCCTTCTTATACTTTGTAAAAGAACAAGTGCCTTTACACCAGATACAGTAAGAAGATTATTTATGATGTGAAAGGAGGGAGTTAGATGTTTTCCATACCAAGCTAATTGCTGCTATTTTACAAAGTGACATTAAAGGTTTAAGCTAGAAGTCATGCACAAATTAAAAACTTCATATTTATGATGAATATGTATTTTTTTACTTTTATGAGTTATGTACCATGCAATGTTCGGATGAAGAACTAATTGATTTCAATATTATTTACATACCTTAAAGGGTATGTAAGGAGGGATTGTTAGAAATTAAAACCAATGTTGGTATGGCGTAATTTGAATTAAATACACTATTTAATTTAAATCAGTTTTATTCTGAAAAACCGGAAGTTCACTAACTATTAACTTAATACTTTTATTCTGACAATTATTCATTTCCGGTTAGCATTAGCATGTGGCGAAATGCTGCATTTTCAAACCGTGAATCAAAGGTGAAATGACATGTGATGTTGTACACTGAGCACACTGGGTTTAGCACTCATTTATTACCGCTGAATAATGTTTATTAGGGAATGTTTAAATAACCACAGACACCAGAATGATGTAATTTAACAACAGAAAAAGGCAGAAATTGCATTGGACCCGCCCCCCGACGACGCCGGCCAATAGGAGAAGACCTCCGATGACAACAGGAAGAGCAAGTCAAGGATTGACCTCTTGCTACCGGGTGACCTGGACTGACCGGGCGGATGAGGAGAGCGCCTCCACTCGCACATTTCATTTTGTACACCACCGCATCTTTTGTGTAATTAAATGCTGTTAACTTTTATAAGCTTCCCTTGACTCTTTTCAGTCTCTCCTGCCTTCGGGGTTCTATAATACACTAACAACTGTAAACTTTAAACACAAGTCATGTGCATGGAAATGCTGTTCAACCATTGGTCAGACATTAAGGGGGTAAACACGCAAATCCCGGCCATTTCTCCCGGAGCCTCCGCCATCGGCACTTTCGGCAGGTTATTCTCATGCTGCTGTTAATCTGGAGATCAACAGACACAAGC